CGATAAGTAGTCGAAATAATGCTTCGATTATCAACTTCAGTATCTTGTTCGATTCGAAAGCGAATATCGTTGGTGCATTGGGAAGGTCAAAATTTAAAATTCCCAGTACTTTTCAAAAGCGCCAAGAAAAACAAAAGAAAAATTAAGGAAAAACGGGAATTTTTACGCAAAATCGACTTTTCAGAAAATTGAATTTGGTTTTTGGTGAAACTTTAAAACAAATGACCGTAGATACATGAAATTTTCACTGGTTGTTTATATTTGCATTTTCTATACACGATAACATTTTCAAAATATTTTGATTTATTTTAAAAAGGCTCCTAGTATATTGTTTCAAAGGCAGATGAAAAATATTAAAAATCCTTAGTCACAATTTTTTTTTATATGCATTTAAAGTTCGAAAATTGACAAAATATGGAAAAATCACGAAAATTAGCAAATTATTTTGAGTTAAGAATTCGTTAAAATTTTTCTTTTTAAATCTAAGATTTGAAAATGTAATACAAGATTACTCATAAGTTTGTCTACCTTTATCAATAAAAAAATCTCTATCGGACAGTCAAATTAAATTTTTATGAGCGTTTTAAATTCAAATTTTTACAACATTGGATAATCACTAGATTTCTCATGTAGCTATTTCCTTATTTTGTTGTAATTCAAAAACGAATAACTGTAGAAACATGAAAATTTTAATGAATGTTTAAATTAGCATTTCCTATACACCATACAATTTTGAAAATATTTTGACCCATTTTGAGCTGTTTACGGACATTTACAGCTTTCTATTTTTTTTAGTTTTTTTTTCTATAAATATCAATTAAGTTTTATCTGTTGGGCCAAAGAGTGTAAAAATTTAATACAAGGCTCCTGATATATTGTTACAATATCAGTTGAAAAATATTAAAAATACATTGGCACAGTTTTTTTTTATAAACATTTAAAGATCGAATTTTGACAAAATTTATCAAAATCTTGAAAATTATCAATCATTGTAATTAATAAATTATAAAATGTTCAGTTTTTATAGCTAAGGATTGCAAATTTAAAACAAAGGTTCTCATAATTTGTTCATACTGTAACCAAAAAATCTAAAAAATATATGAACACAGTTATTTTTTACAGACATTTTAAATTCAAATTTGGACGAAATTACATAATAAAAAACCTAGAATAACTATTTTAGTTATTTTGTTGTGATTGTATAATATTTTTCGTGTGTACTTGAAATTTCTAAAGTATACTACTATATATCTATGGTAGTATCAGGGTTTGTTGTTGGTGTAAAACGCGTTATAAGTACCTAATGGATATTATGATATGATTAATTTGGAATTTATTATAGGTACCTATTTTAGGTCAATTTTTGGTTTAGTACCATAGATATGTATATAATATTTCTTATACCTTAGACTGACATACCGTCTCCGCTCAGAATCGTTTTTCTTATACAATGATATTTTATCTTTGAATTCAAATTTAATATTCAGTGACCCAGTGACCCACTCGTAACTTACTGTACAGCAGAGCGACACCCACTTGCCCACCTTTTTTTTATATTAATATACTGAAAATAAATAAAAATATTGGTACTAATTAATCTTTTGTTTTATTAACTTTATGGACTTAAGTCAATTACACAATTAAATTATAATTTATCAGATAACCAGGTAATAATAATAATACAATTTGAATACTGTTCAACCATGTATGATGTGCATTATACACAGATTAAGTTAAGAAAATACAATGATGTAAATATGAATATATTATATGACATAGAATGGATCTTAGGATAGATCTTGGATCTTTAGTTGGTTACATCCAGGGCTGGATTGGTATGTATCACCCCATCCAGATTTTCATTTCTATAAGCGGCCCATTTACATATTGGGTTGACCCAAAAATTATGTCTATATTTCTTACAAACTTATATAGGTGGCCAATCGTATTTTAAACATGAATTTATTTTCACTCACACTCACACAACCGGCCCAAACTTTAAGCGGCCCACCCAGATTTTCTCGGTAGCTCGCCTAACCAATCCGGCCCTGTATACATCTAGAATATATGGATGTGAAACATGGGTAATAAATAATGCCAAAAAGAAAAAACTAGAAGCTTTTGAGATGTGGTGAGGATAAGTTGGATAGAGCAGACAACAAATGAACAAGTATATGTTAGTTTATATAAATGTATAGCCATTACACATTTAAACTTATTTACTACTCTTTATTTATTGTTATTTACAATTCAACTAGCTTATACATTTTCTATACACAATATACTTTTATATATATCATTAACTTATTTTTTGATATTTAAGTTGTTTAGTTTGTTTTTTCAATGAAAAAAATGTTGCGGGGTCAAAATGGTTGAAAATTATATACAAAGTTCATCATAAGTTGTTATTATAGGTATTTAAAATATTAATGATACATGGCACGGTTGGTTTTTTAAGCATTTGAAATTGGTACAACAAAATTGATAAAAATCACAAAAATTAATAAATTATTTTGTTGTCTACATTTTATGAAATTTTCAAATTTTATAGCTAAGGCTTAAGAGGACGCTACACCCGCATGTGTTGTCTCCGTCTTACACACGTACGACATAGACAAAACGCGTTTAGGCAGTCTGAGTAGAACTCGCTCAATTTTGGTCCTAGAGTAAAAATACCTATTATGAAATTGAATTGTGATAATATTTCTAAGGGCAAGACGCTGCGGTTTTTTTAAAAAATTTAATTTTTTAAAAGTCAAAGGTATTTTAAAAATGGTGAAATTTTTTCTATTTCTAAACGATATAATGAACGTTATATTGGGTATAATGGAAAAACCGCAGCGTCTTGCCCTTAGAAATATTATCACAATTCAATTTCATAATAGGCATTTTTACTCTAGAACCAAAATTGAGCGAGTTATACTCAGACTGCCTAAACGCTTTTTGTCTATGTCGTACGTGTGTAAGACGGAGACAACACATGCGGGTGTAGCGTCCTCTTAACAATTTAATTAAATACATACCATGATACAATAAACATTATAGTGGCTTACTCAATGATGAGGTATAATCGATACCTACTGTACATCACAGTGTTTATCTACATATCCCTTTTTTTTTGTGCTGGAATATACCTAGTGTGATGAACCCCATTTTTTCATTTAATAATGAATTTATTCAAATTCTTGAGATTTTTACTATCTATATTACTGTCTTGTGGCGATACAAACTTTTATTTTTCAAACAAGAATCTCTTAAATTATAACTGTTAATAGATTAATATTAATTACAAACATTTTCAATTTACCATAGCCCCCATATTTTGCAAACCCATTATCATGGATCTATTATCCTTAGTACACAAAGCTTATGAACTCAAAAACCATATCAAAAAATATATATCAAAAAATGCTTAGAAAAATTGTATGCTAAATAATTTACAGTAGAAAGGGAGTTAAAAAAATTTTGTATCACCACAGGACAATTTTTAAGTAGTATAAAAATCTCAAAACTGAAAATTTGGTCTCTAAGTATATTTAAAAATTCCAAAAATCTGATTTTGAATAACTATATAATTGAAAAAAAAAATGGGATGAGTCTGCTTGGTGAATTAATCTGTCATTAAAAATAATAATTCTTTATTGTGTGTTAGGTATATACAGGGTGATTCTTTTATCATTGAACACTCATTATTTCAAAAAGTATTAATGTTTAAGAAAATATTTTTTTACATAGTTTCAAGTTGTTAAAAAATAATATTTTTATTAAAAAATTATATTTTTAAATATTTTTTATCCTTTTAATTTTTTAAGTTTTTTACTTTTTTGAATGACAACATGTAATTTTAATTTGATATTCAAAAACAGAATATTTTTCTGAGTATTTTAATACATAAAAATTGAATTTAGGGCAAGTAGTTTATGAGTTATAAGTATTTAAAGTTTAGATGAGCGGAGTAGTGGACAAACATTTCGCGGGGTAACCCCGTACCACTCTACTCCGCTCATCTAAACTTTAAATACTTATAACTCATACCTAACCTAACCCCTAACTAATTGCCCTAAATTCAATTTTTATGTATCGAAATACTCAGAAAAATATTCTGTTTTTGAATATCAAATTAAAATTACATGTTGTCATTCAAAAAAGTAAAAAACTTAAAAAATTAAAAGGATAAAAAATATTTAAAAATATAATTTTTTAATAAAAATGTTGTTTTTTAACAACTTGAAACTATGTAAAAAAATTTTTTCTTAAACATTAATACTTTTTGAAATAATGAGTGTTCAATGATAAAAGAATCACCCTGTATATCATTAATTTAATCAATTTTAGATTCAGTGCATAGCTATAAATTTATTAATTTTATGAATTGAGGAGTGTATTTTTATTTTTGTGTCTGAAAAGACGTTCTAGTAAAAGAAATAGGATCGCCCATTACTGCAGAAAATACGCATAGGACAAAATAGCATACAGATTTTAAAATACTGGATATTACATTACATTACCATACACAAATTGAGTCTTATATTTTTCACATGGAAAAAAACTCGGAATTTGGACACGATACACATAGTATGACATTTACTATATATAATGTGTATACATATACTAATTTGGACACTTTTTTATGCTTAAGAAATAATCTTTTAGTGATACATAAAACTGCAAAACTCTTTTAATAGCATTAGTGCAAGCTACTAGTTTTACTTTAGCCCAGTAATTTAGTGTCTCGAAGATTCCTCGGTTCCTCGGGGGACAAAGGGACAGAGGTACAAAAAACAGGATATATGGTCTCCCTATTATATACATCTACTATACATATTTTGATTTTTTGAATTTGGATTGTGTATTTTGATTTTATGGAATTTGAACTTAATTCTATGTAATATTTTTATATTTAAATTTGTATTAGTTTTAATTAATTTGTGTGGAATTGAACTATTTTTGTGTGTGGTAAAGAAAAGTGCTGGAAAAAATTTACTGACCATCAACTTTGATTGAGGTTTCTTGCAGAAAATCTGAATTAGTTGGTACTTTTAGGGGAGGTTAAAATTAAAAATTCTCTGTAATTTTTAAAATAATTGGGAAAAACTAAATAAAAATACGTTCATTTGTTAAACTGTTAATAATGTTATTAAAATATTTGTTCCCAACAAATTAGAAGACCATCTTCACTTTCAACTTTTTCATTGTATATAATGATTTATCATTGAATTCAAATTTAACTTATCGTCCATAACTCAAAGATGAGGTACACTGAGTTCCTACTGCATAGCAGAGTAGTTACATACTTGCCCCTTTTTCAATATCGATCTATACTGTGTTTAAAATGAGATCATACCCTGGCGGCCAGGTTGTGCGCATGGGCTTGGCTTAGTTCCATGGAAGCGCCTGACCCCCTCTCCGTAGTAGGAACGGCTTCTGACCGTCGCCCTCCGAAAACTGGTCGCTGCCGGGGCACCAACTCATTTGGAACAGAGTATAGAAAATAACTCAAAAGTTTAGAAATTGTATTTATTATATATTATCAGTTAACACAAATTTTAATTCAATAAAAATATCTCACATTTGTATCCATCTAATATTTTTTTTTTACTCTAGATAGGTACCATGTCTTATTAATATTAAGATTAATCATATTATTATATTTCTAACTTATTTTTATTATCAATATAATATATACTATAGTCTATAAATATACATATATCTAAGCATCTAGAAATGATTTTATTTATATACATAATACATATTTTTAAAATTTGATATCTTTTCTGCATGTTAGCTATTGTTTTTTTCTTGTGTGTGCTTATAGTTTTTGCTGGCTCGTTATGCAAACTCCAATCGCGGTGTATTTCACCCATCATTATCTCAAGATGCTCGATCCTGTTCGCCTGCCTATTACTATGAACAGGTTTATATATGCTTTTGCAAATGCTATTAGAATAATGTGAAACATCTTCAAATTGAATGAAATCATAATTTCTTTATTTTCATACTTAAACTATATTTACAGACTTCCAGAACTTTATTGAATCGTGATAAAAAAACTACTTCTGAAAGCGACATTGAAAAATATGCCCAGGATAACTTAAATATACATAAGAAAGGAATTTTCCGAAAAAAATTTTCAGTGAGAGACATGCTTTCATGGTCTAAGGTAAAAACTAAATAATTATAGTGTATTTGAACTAAATTAACATCTTCCTCTAATTTTCATTGAAATATGTATAGGATCCAATTCGTAAACCTATGTTAGTGTTGTCTGACAAAGCATTGAAAAAAGAAGCTTGTGATTTATTTAAATTGGTTCAAACCTATATGAGTGATCGCAAAGCAAAATTAGGAATGACATTAAATAGTGTGGCTTTAGAAATATGTATGACTGGTTTTATGAAACCAACCCTCCGAGATGAATTATACATACAAATATGTAGACAAACCACAGAAAATCCTAGAAAGTATGAATATTTATTAAAATAGGTAAAATATTTTTATCTTGTATCTTACAATTTTTCAAATTTTCAGAGAAAGCTTACGACGTGGATGGGAACTTTTGGCAATTTGTTTATCTTTTTTCCCACCTTCTCCTAAATTACAAAAATACTTAGAAAGTTACATGGAAAGACATAGAGATCCAGGTCTAGACAGTTATGCAACTGAAGTTGGTCGGTGGCCTGTCCATGTCCAAGTAAGCCACTATGCCAGTGTGGCCACTAAAAGATTACACAGAATGGGTATAGACGGTAAAAAAGCTGTTCGAAGACCAACACTGGAAGATATTGAACAAGCTAGAGTAAGATTGATTTTATTTTTAATCATATTTTACTAAATAAGGAGTTAATTTGTATCTTGTTGTTCATTAACAGATGCAAATATTCAGGCCTAGTCTTTTTGGAAATACAATCAATGAAGTTATTGATCTTCAAAAAGAACGCTTCCCTAACTATAAATTACCTTGGATACAAACCATATTATCTGAATTAGTACTGAGGCACAGAGGCGATCAGACAGAGGGAATATTTAGGTAGCCAAAACAATACCTATTATTAATTATTAATATAATTTATAACATTTTTTTTTTAAACAATTTTTTTTAAAATAAAAGTTATTATATTTTAGTTTATAAATATTTAACATTTCTAATTTGTATTCTATACTCTACAGAGTACCAGCTGACATGGATGAAGTTATGACCCTTAAAAGTCGTTTAGATGTATGGGAAGTTCCTGGATCTGAAGAGTTGACTGATGCCCATACACCAGCATCTTTATTAAAACTATGGTATCGTGAATTATACGAGCCTCTTGTTCCTGATCATATGTATGCTGAATGTATTGCAGCTCATCAAGATGCTCGACGCGCCATTGCTATTATTCATAGATTACCACCTATAAATAAAGCTGTTTTGGCATATCTTATTCACTTCCTACAATTGTTTACCAAACCTGAAGTTGTTCATGTTACCAAAATGGATGCTAGTAACCTGGCTATGGTTATGGCTCCGAATTGTTTACGTTGTACTTCAATTGATCCTCGTGTTATATTTGACAATGCTCGTAAAGAGATGGCTTTTATGCGTTTGTTAATATTACATTTTGATGCATCCTTTATGGAAGGAGTATTTTAAATAGATCTGTTATGTTCAATAACTAATTACTGGAACTGTAATAGTTTCAAAACTACACAAACCAAAGGTTATTATTATGAAAGCTTAATTGCACACTAATTTAATTATTTTTTAAGCTAATATTAATAATATATATATACTTATGATAAATTAAACATGATGACAAAATGTTTGACATTGATTTTTGGTAGTTTAGATAAGTGTTACCATGTAAATGACTTTCAAAATTTTACTTAAAATATAATCTAATTACTTAAATACTATTTTAATTATATACCCTCCCACTGCCTTTAATATGTTGTATAATTTTTTAATAGCTTATTTATATTATTTTTTACTTTTGTTTTGCTGTTATGATTATAGTAACAATAAACAGTATTAGATTATTTATTTGATAATTTACTACTATAATATTTTTTACATAGTCAAGTGGTATTAGAAAAATAAATTGTGTACAAATAAGTGAATTATAAATATACATAGTAATGTTTTAAAATTTAAAAAAAAATTTCAATGACATATTTTGTATTTGTTAAGTTTCATAAAGCTTATTAATTTAACAGAAATGTAGTGAAATGTTTTAGTCTTATGCTACAAACAGACTAGAATTCATGTTATTTTGTTTTACTGGAATATCATTTTTGTTCTGGAATTAAGAAAAAAGATCTTTTATTATTATTAATATAAATTTTTTGTCTGAATGCATTTATTTATAAGTTCAGTTTTTGTATCAAACACCAGAACAATATTGTCATTTTAATTTTATACACTTTATTCTTTCTTAACTTCTTTGTGGTGTTATTGTATGAATAATAAAGTTGTAATTGTTTTTATTTTGTTTAATAGTTTTTTAACCTGTTATACCAAGAACTTGAGACAGTGTCAATGGCTTCAAACCATAGAGTAATCTATACTTTTCTCCATTTACCGAGCACTTGAGTGATGTTTATTCACCATGTGTTCTAGGTAACAATATTATTTTTCAGTCACCTGCCTTTTACATAATATTCTACTCATAATGGTAAAAATAGCCACCCTTAGTGATGGTGTGGCTAAAATCAAAAGCCCAATGCTCTTGGGTTTGCGACTTAATAATTCTATATTTCAATAACTATACTCATGTTGAATTTTGTATTCTTAAACAATTTAAACCCCTTAAGTGGTGAGCCCATCTCTAGTGCTATGCTATCATATTTGAAACTTGTCAGAAAAACACCATAATTACTTTATAGTATAATAACTGATAAGTGTTCTATTCTAAGATAACGCCATAGTGGAGAATTAGACCGGAATATTAATAGATTTGGGAAGCCTATTCACAGCTCCAACAGTTTTTGAATATTTCAATTTTCTAATAGATATTTTTATTGAACATTTTAAGTGTACTTCAATATCAACTATATTAAATTGCGTTCTGAATTTCCTTTTGCTTAATCATTCAGTTATTAAAAATATTAGTTAGGTTTTTGCATTCTGTACTTACTCCCTCCCCTTCCATTTGTATTAAAGAAAAACTAATCAATTATCAAAATGTTGTTTTATAATCTATATATATATAAATTAATGTTTATTTGTCTGTCTGTGTGTCCTTTATGCATTCCTTAACAGCTGGATCGATTTTATGAAATTTGGCACAGAGATAGATTAGACACCTGGGCAGAAGATAGACTACTTTAAAAAGGGAGAGGGATTAGCTAGTAATTTATAAATATGAACAAACCAATATTTCAATTGGATCAGATTATTATTGACTATTGGTAAATGTTTTTGCATTACATGCAAAATTCTGAAGCAACATTCTTGCATAATATACTTGTATAATAATGTTGAATATACATTAATGGGTTTTTTTTACATTAATTACTTTCTAAATAATCATAACATTGAAACAATAACTGTTTTGATAATTATTTAAGATATTTTTATTCAAATAAAATATGCATAGGTAACAGAATTTCAATAAATTTATATTATATAGAACCACAGAAAATTATATTCAACAGGGTTCGACCGCCTTGCTTCTATATAAACAATTTATTGGATATTACTGGGAAAATAATTTGTAGTCTCAAACTTCAATGAACTTATGTTATAACATTATAAAATAATCAGAATCAAATTTATTTTTATTTTTACTAAATAAGCAATTCAAATTAAATAAGTTTAATTTTGGAACTTATTTTAATTCAGATAAAGAGTTTTAAGTATACTTAAAAGGATCAAAATAACAATTGGCATTATAAACTGTATTAATTTAAGTTTTATCTATTTTTTTTTTTTAAACACACTTACATTTTACCTAAATATCTAAAGTTTATAATTACTTCCATACTCGTTTAAAGTAGTATAATTTTGACATAAAAAACATAATAAATATATTTTTTTAAATAACTTAGGTCGATAATTAAAAAAAAGATTATGTATAACAATGTCAACAAACATGAACTAAACAATAATATAAACATATTTAAAATATTAATAAGTCTATCATCAATTATTATTCCGCTACTCACACTGATTAATAACCAAATTAATTTATCGTTTTAAACATAGATTATAATTATTATAATATAATTTTGAAGAAACAGGAACATGCAAGAAAAAAATGCTTGATAGTATTAAATATCCAAATTATAAATTTTAAATAGTTTAGGAAAATACTGACAAGTTATTTTTGCTCGAGTTTTAAACGTTTTTTTCTCTTTTTTTTTATATATAAAATGTTTGTACAAAATAACATATTTCGTTTAGGATTAAAATGTCTAATCATATACATAAAAAAAAATTTACATTGTTGTATGTACACATAAAACTTAGTCTTAAAATAAAAACAACAAATTTTCATTGTATTATTGCGAAGAAGAGGGACGGTGATATTGCGGTGGATAATTATTATTATAAGATTGAGGCAACCTTGGGGGGTATTCATTTCTAACAGGATACTTATCAAATGATCTTGGATATTCTGGTGGATACCTAGGTCCATAACATGAACTGGCTGCGGAATCGGCCTGTATACCTATTTCAGATGATTTATGAGGTCGGTCAAATTTTGTTAATGTTATTGAAGAAGGTAATTTGGGAGGGTATGTAGAAGACGATGGTATAGCAGGTGATGCTGGTTGTGAAACAGCAGCAGACGAATGAGTTGGTGGCATATATGAAGGAGATTGAACAGACCTTGACGGTGGCGGTATATGTTTAGGCGTTATTGAAATGCTAGGATTATTTCTTAACAAATTTGAACGGTTTCGTAATTGTTGCATAGAAGCATCTGAAAAATGAATACATTAATTTTATAAAATAAAAAAGATAATATTGTACATTATGAACTATATTAATTACAAACCGCTTTTAGTTCCTGGATTAAAACTACTTTCTAATGGCTGAGGCCTATTATAAGTCATTGTAGAAGGATGAGTAGATTGTTGTTGAGGGATGAATGGTTGGCTAGGTACTGTTGGATTATTAGGTTTATTATTTGCTGATGTACGGATGGCAATTATTTTTCCGCTTTCCAACTGCATATAAATTCCTTTAGGACTTTTCAGTACCATTACTTTTTGACCTGCTTTCAATACAATTGAACCACGATCACCAGCATTTGTTGGGATTACAACATCTTTAGAAATATTAATATTAATATTAAATTAATTAATTAATTTATTAAATTCACTGTTTTTAGAAACATGAAACACATAGTTGGTGCATTTGAAGTTAACAGTTCCAGAAAATAATATAAGTTCAATAGTAGTTATTAATTACCGAGTGGTAAAGTCATTTCTTGAGCACTCATTCCCTGTTTTTGCCAGACTTCAGCTGGTATCCATCTACGGTTTAGAGCATTTCTGCTAGCAATTACTGCTGATGTATTAGACATTGATTGCATTGGACGTACACTAGCCATTGGTTTACCCATTTGATTTCTATATAAAATAATTGTATTGAATAAGGGGTTACAAAAAATATATATATTAATATTTTTCTTCTGACCTATACAATGAAGATGTAGTATTTTGACCATAATATGAATACATAGGTCTGGTGTTTGCTTTTTTCTCCATTTCATAACTCCTTTTGGCTAATCTTTTTTCCGCCTGTGATAATTTTTTGTCTTTACGGTCCACAAACAATGATTCGTGTTGAAATGGTTCCTAAACATTATTAAGCAAAATAAAATTATAAGTTACAATGGATAATATAATTGAATTTCAAGAAGACTTCATTCTCAAGTTTGTTATCTTTGTCTTTTGCATGAATAAGGTACAACTAAAACATGTTGACATAAACCGTTATAAACTCATGAATAATTTAATAGTGAATTTCAACAATTGTTGGCTATGTTACATAAGTGAAGACAAAGATAATAATCTTTGGAGTGGTGTATTATCTTCCAATGTTTAATTTATAACAATTTACCTTGGTTAGCACAGAACTGAGATTCTCAACAATATATTTCACAACTACATCGCTATAACTATCTTTGAGTGACGAAAAATCTTTGATTGGTGTAGACTCTCCATCATCCCAACATAAATTAGTTACTTCTTTGATAGACAAATGGGCATCTGGATTGCATTCATCAACAACACGATCTGCCATTACCTGTTTGTTAATCTGTCTATCATAGATTTTTTTTTCTAAACAATTATCTGTTACTAATCTGTATACAAAACATGGTTTTTGCTGGCCATATCGGTAAACCCTGCATACAGCTTGAGTATCATGACAAGGATTCCATGATGCATCAAACACAATTACTCTATTTGCTCCAACAAGATTAATGCCCAACGATCCGGCACGTGTTGATACCAAAAACAAATGGACTGTATTACAGATGTTGAAATCATTGATTAACTTTTCACGTTCAGATGCAGAGGTACTGCCATCAAGACCTAATAATGATGAATTATTTGTATGATAACAATTAATAAACATTAATAGATATGAATTATTTTATTATTATAAACGTAATATACTTTTTGGTCTAAATTAAAATCGGCATCTAAAACATACCTATAAAATATTTTGTACTAGTTGAGTTGTAATGTTTTATTTAAACTAAAACTAATAAAATATAAAATAAAAGTATGAGCAATGTTCTACTTACGATAATAATCACAATTTCGACACCAATGTTCATCTTTTCCAGGTATTTTATTTCGCTGCAAAAATTCTTCAATCAAGTCTAAGGTGAATAATGATTGACTAAATAATAAAACACGATCACCAATTCTAACAGATTCTTCAACAATCGCAAATAACAATGACATCTTAGCTGAAGCTTCAATCATACCAGGTACATAATCATTAAATAATTCAACTGCCTGAAACCCATTTCATTATAATACAATAATGTGTACGATTGATAATTGAAAATGATGTAATAAGTAATAACTTACCCAATCATATGGTATTCCTGGTTCTTCCTTCCCACTTTTAATTAAAAGTGAAGGATTTTTTATTTCACCTTCCTCTAATGTTGTTATTTTTGGATCCATGGTATCTTCTATAGATCTTGATTCTTTATTTATAGAGAACAAAGTACTTTTTTCATCGTGAGATTGTTCAATGTCTGTATTATTGCCACTTCCACCATATTCATATTTAGTTTTATTGTCTAACGAACGAAATGGTGGTAATGGATTTACATCTTGGCTGGTCATAGTGCAAGGGGCTGGATTCTTACGTTCAGGTGGTTGATATATACGTTCAGGTCCAGGAATATTATCTAGTATATCAGATATACTTCCCAATGGAGTACTAGTACTTGGAGTATATGGAGGGTACATAGATGAATAATTTGAATATCTTGAATAAGACTCATTAGAATTTGAAACGTTGAAACGATTAGAGTCTGAATACATTTTCACTTCATTTTGATTATGAGCTCCAGACATTAAACCAACCCCTCTTCCAGTAATTTGTTGTATATTTGTTGCTCTTGGATATTGACTAGATTCAGGATCTGTTTTAGCACCTCCGGGTAACCCAGGTTTGACGTTAGATGGCAACGGACCATAGACTGGCTGATATTCATTAATTTGATTGTTCAACATGCTTGGCGGCTCTAAAAGACCAAGCAAACTCTGTCCATCAGGCTGGCCAACCATAGCATTATACAATAGTGCCTGTTCATTGGCGTCAGTTGTGGAGTTAAGGACACTTAACATTGCTTGATCATTAGCTAACAACATTTCTTGGTCATGTAACATCTGATCGGTCAAAATATTAGGATTTTGAAATGAGGAGTCAGGTAAAATAGTTCCATAGTTATGATTCTGATTAGTAATATGCTGATTGGGTTCTAACATATAATTATTATAGTTATTACTTGAACTATCAGGGTTCATGAATGGTTCCCTAATCGGAATCTGGCTACGATTAGCCATTACATTATCTGAATTTTGATACTGCCGTTGTTCTTGATTATGTTGATGATGGTGCTGCTGCTGCTGTTGGTGTTGTTGTTGTTGTTGTTGTTGTTGCTGTTGTTGTTGTTGCTGTTGTTGTTGTTGCTGCTGTTGTTGTTGCTGTTGTTGTTGTTGCTGCTGTTGCTGTTGATGGTGTTGTAGCTGTTGTTGCTGCTGATTGACAAATGTTTGATTTATTTCTTGATTTTCATGTGATATAGTCATTGAATGAGTATGTTGAGCCCCTTGACTACTTGTTAATTGTCCCTGGTTAATATTATCACACAACAACATTCCTTGGCTTCTAATCCCTTGATTAACAGGATTATTATTCATTAACCTTGGGTTATCAATTATTTGATGATTTGTTACTTGATCTTGAATAGCAGATTGATTGCTCAACGTACCCTGATTACTCAAACTACTATTAACATTCTGTGAATTGATATTGGTCGGAATAGAATTTTGCACACGCTGATGATTCAAGTTGGTTTTCTGATGATTTGTCATAATTCGATTGCTGTCAAATATACCCTCAAAACTAACAGCCATACCAGTAGTACTGTCATTTCCCTGTTTTATTAAGCCACTCCCATAAATGCCTTTATTACTTTCTGTTAAAGATGTATGGCTATTATTAAATTGAATATCTTCATTATTTCTCGAAGAGTTTCCAAATATTCCTTTATTAGTACTTGTTAAAACATCTTGATTGTTTGCAAACAATCCTTGATTGCTATTAGAAAGAACTTCTTGACTATTTCCTTGATTAAATGCTTGCCTAAATGATATTTCTTTAGAATTAGATATAACTTGCTGATTTTTTAAGTTGCTCTCATTATCGTTCCAATTATTATCAACATGTATTCCTGAATTAGATACAATCATAGATTGATTTTTTTGGATCTGTTTATTATTTATAGTAGGTTTTCGATTTCGAATATTTTTTGGTTTATGTTTTGATATTGCCATTTGATCAATATTATCTGCTTGTAATCCTGGAATGTTTGAAATACTTTGACAAGGTATAATCTCTTGACTTATTCCCAGAGTTGGAAAATGACCTTGGTTCCCTTTTTGGACATCTGGAGAAAAACCTTGGTTGGGTAATGGTTGTTCGGATTCCTGTGTTCCTTGTGTAGTATCTTGATTAAATCCACGATTTTGATCATTTGAACCACTGAAACTGGTTTCTTCATAGTTTTGATAACTTGGCTCACTTTTCACCATTCTAATTTCCCCAACTTCAAGTCTAGGATCTTGAGGATATGGATATTGACTTTTTGTTTCTGAACCTTGATTGGATTGATAATATTCTGAATTACCTCGGTAAAAATTTCCTCCTTCTTTCCAATAAGAAGAATCATAATTTTGATTATAATTGTTCAATTGTTGATTTGTGTAATTTCCCTGACCTCCATATTGTTGTGGTTGTGAGGAATAATCATCATATTGATTAGATTGAATAGATTGAGTAACAGTTGAGGTATTGTGATTATGAGTAGTAGGAGTAATAAGTTGATTATTACTCGTATTTGGCATAACTGTTGCTACAGCCGGGGTTTTCATTTGATCTTTTTTTATGTTCTGAAATTAATTTAAAAAAAAAAATAAGGGTTAAAAGAGTAGTTAAAATATATCATGTTGGGAAAATATTTTTAAGTTCAAAAAATTACGCATTATTTTCATCCAGATAATAAAAACAACAATTTTTGAAAAAATTGATTTAATTTTTTTTGGTATTACTAACTAATAATGTAAATCATTGAAATGTTCACCAAATATTATTTTATTAGAATTTTTCATGAATGGTAACATTTTCGAAATATTTCGACTCTTTCTGAGCTAGTTACAGCCATGAGAAATGTTTTGATTTTGTTGTGGTTGTATTAACTAATTCTCAATAAAATTTTTTTTTACTTAGTAAAAAAGCTTAAAAATGTAATGCAAGGTTCCTTTACTTTTTTGATTAATGGAAGTTCAAAAATATTAAAGATACGATAGATACGATTAATTTTTGGATTTAAAGTTCAAAATTTGACAAAATACAAATACATCAACATTTCAAAAATGTTCAAACTATTTTACAGTAAGAAATTCATAAGTTTTTCTTTTCATAGCTCAGATTAAAAATTTTAATAGAAGATTTCACATAAGTTGTTCTACCTATAACAAGGTTTAGCGGTAAATTATTGAATCTTCTTAATCAAATTTTAATATTTTGTTGTATTTCCAAAACGAATAACTGAACTTTTAAAATGTTCACCAAATATTTATTATAGCATTTTCCATACATGATAAAATGTCCAAACTATTTATAGCCATGAGAATTTTTTTAAATTATTGTTTAGTTAGAAATTCATAAAATTTTTCTTTTCATAGCTAACATTAGACATTTTGTTAGAAGGTTCCCAAAAAGTTTTTCTACATTTATCAAAAAAAAATATGTTCAACAGAAAGTTATGCTATTTATAGCCATTAGATATTTTAGATTTTTATTTTTTTTTTAACTATTAAATTTAATTATTTGTACAAGTATGCAAGGTTAACACAGCGTCTCCTCTCAGAATCATCTTTTGTATACAATGATTTATAGTTGAATTATAATATAACACATCTATAATGACATACTCGACAACTACTGTACAACAGAGCGGATCCACTTGTCCACCTTTTTTTATATTTATTGTTAGAACATAAAATGTAGTTCAACAAAAAAGATATAATGCGCTTTTTGTAAAAATGTAATAATTTTTTGATACCTACTGAAATCTTCCGAAAAAATTCTATTACTATCATTATTATTATTATTTTGATTTATAACATCAACAAAAGAAGAATACTAGGTAGGAAAATTTTTAATTTCAAAGAAAAGTTAAATTTTAATTGTTTTATCAGCATAATTTGGACCAAATATTAAAATTATATTTGTAAAATCTTAAAATGTTTCCAATGTTTTATGAACATATTATAATTATAATTTGTATGAAAAAAAGATTTCTGAAAAAGTCTAAAACTGTATACACACACATCATCAAAATATGAAACTTTTGAGTTTTGAGGGGTCTTAGTTAACAAGGCCCCCCCGTATAACAAATTATAAGCAACCAGAAATCAAAATCCTGGTTATACCACTATGTCAAATATAAAATAAACATTTTAAGAAAAATTATTTCCAAGTTGATGTAATACTATTTTATTTACAATTTTAATATGTGAAAATATTTATATTATTTTAAATTTTGAATGACTAGATTATTTTTTTTGGTGATTTTGGTGGGGAGATATGATTGAGATTAAGTCTATTACATGCTTTCTTTGATAATAATTAAATAATACTTGTTCATTAATAATTATTATACTTGAATCTAACTAATGATGAAATATTTTTTTTTCAGTAAAAAAAATTTTTTAATGATTTTCTCTTTAAAATTTTTATTAAAGATACCTGATATTACTTATGTAACATACGTGAATTCATTACCTTGCGATTTGGATTGTTTTTTAATTCTTTAGAATTAGGATTTATTCCTCCTCCTTTTGGCCATCGACTCCTAGATCGTTTGGATGCTGCAGATGGAGAAGTTGCTGGGGTAGGTCCTAAAGGTGTACCCAAAGGTGTACTAGCTTCTTCTAGATCTAAATCAATTTCAGCTTCATCCAATGAGCGTTTTTTCAAAAAATAGTATAGAATGTCAGGATGGTTCCAGATCTAAACACGTAAAATGAATATAAAAAATAAAATATTTAAGTTACATATTATCGTTTTAAACAACTTACTTTACAACAAACTGCAAATGCTTTTAAAGGATTAGGTACAGCTTTTTTCCGTACAACTTCATTCATGAATCGATCATACAGCAATCGTTGTAATGGAGTCATACGAACAAGTAAAACAAATTCTTCTTTTTGTGGTAATGTTTTTTCTAATACAGAATGACTTCTTCGTTGAACAAACCCTTCTAAAAGAGAATGTAAAACATGTGCTCTATGTCTCATCAACCTAATATCTTGAGGTGTACTGTCAATACATTGACCATTTTGAATAGGTCTTTCAAACATGTTACTGAATTCAGTTTTTGTTCCCAAGTAATTTGGACGGACAAAATCTACCATACACCAATATTCTAATAAGTTATTTTGTAATGGATATCCAGTTAACACTACACGTCGACGACTTTCAATCTCTTTAAGAGATTGTGAAGTTGAAGCATGGCTATTTTTAATTCTATGTCCTTCATCACAAATCACTAAATCTGGTCCAGGTTTTACTAATGCATCTCTCATTTCTAAAAAAAATTAAATATTAAATTATCATAACATTTTCTTTAAAATTATTTAACCATATGCAAATCAAACATTTACCATCAAGCAATGGTTTATTTTTTTCATCATAAAAGTCGTCATCAATTTGTTTTTTATTTCTTTTTTTTCTTGGTTTCCTAGAAGTTAGTTGTCTGTAAAGCTCATAGCCCATTAGCAAAACACCACCTTCAACCCGCCAGCTTTCTATGACTTTGCCTCTTGCGGATATAGTCTTATGAAAGTCATTAAGAACAAATAGAGGAAACTGTCTATGAATAATATCACCACTATTAGTTGTATTTTCTGTCGAATTTTTAGGATCATCAGGTAATGGAAGCCACATATTAAATTCAGCCATCCAATTTTGTAAAGTATTTATAGGCATAATGCACAACACATGTTTTGCAGGCGTGTGTCTTAAAAAAACATCACAAAATGAAACAACCTATAAGAATAACATTTAAATGATTTAAAATAATCATACATTGAAAACAATACTTTTAGAAATTAGTAAGTATAAAAAAAGCAAGTTTAATAGTACTAATAAATTACCTGAAGTGTTTTGCCTAACCCCATTGAATGGGCAAGTATGCACCCAAATCCTTTAGAAGATTTAAACCTTTCAAGAGATTCAACCACATTATCAAACAAAAATCTTACACCTCCAATTTGGTGAGGTTTGATAATACGTGCAATTTGAGGAGCTAAGAAAACATCTGGCTCATTATCTGGGTGGCCAACGTTAATAAGAACACGTCCAGACTCATCTGGTAGATTATAAGCATCATTTGTGTGCATACCACTATTGTGTGCATCATCATCTGCTATATCTTCTTCTTCTTCGTCACCAGATATTAATATACAATCATCATCTGAGCTTTGAGGTTTTTGTTCTACGCCTTCTTCTTCACTTTCACTACTTATAGTTACAACCTCGGCTATTTTTGCTGGTTTTATTGGAGCAATTGAAACAGAAGACGTTACCATATGTGGTTCACTAACATCTCCAAGTTTTGAAGCAATAGATGATAATTTATCAATTTCATTACATTCTTTTAAAGCGTCTGGTTGATTTTTTAATATTTCTAACATTTTTTTATTAAATATCTGTGGTGATCCAGAATCAGTGGATATCACAATTGTATTAGGTTTAGGTTGGACTTGTGGTTCAGTAGGTGCAGAACTTTTTTTAATTAATGATGTAGTTCCTCCTTGAAGCAAAGACATAACACGATCCTGAGCTTTAGAATTTTGTCTATTGATTGCAATTTGTTTTTGGACCTAATGTTTTAAAAATAATTAATTAACTAAAAAGTTTTATTAAAAATAAACCATTTACATACGTCTCTAATAATACGTTGTTGCTCTTGAACCCGCCTCAATCTTTCCATTTCTTGTCTTTGTGCAGCCAAGGTCGACTCATCTAATTTTGTTTCATCCATTACCTCACGAATATTTCGTCTCAAATTGGTTGGTCGTTTTTCGGATGTAGATTGATTATCTGGATCTTCGTCACTAGTTTCTAAGTAAAAATATAAATTAATTAAAAAATATTTATAGCCAAAATAAAATATAGGTACATACTTTCATCATTCATTTTGGCTTTTTTCGGGGTTTGATCATCTTCTTCCTCGCCAGATTTCCGCTTAGAGTTGGCTTCAATTTCTTCATCAGTTTGTTCTTTGTTATTGCTCTCATTTTCTGATTCATTTTCGATGTGTTCCGATTCTAATTTGACTTCAACGTTTTCATCCACTGTTGTAGGAATATCAGATACTTCGGAATTATCTGAAGTTTTTGAAATTTCCGGTGTCTTGTTTGTATCTTCTTCGCTACCACTAAAATCATCTTCTTCATCACTACAGTCATCTTCTTCTTCCTCTTCATTTTCTATAGCCTTAGGCAGTGGCTTTTCTTCAGGTGGTTGAACCCTTTGAACAGTTAAATGCGAGTATCGTGATAAATTAAATGGATCCATTAGGAAATCACTGTACTAAAGCCAATTCCATGATAATTTACTCTAAAACTGTTCTTTCACGTCAAACAATACCACTAGCAATAAACATTAATATTTAATAGTCGAATACGAATACCTATTAGATAGATAATAATAAAATAATAATATTATCAAAACAACAAGACGTTTTCTTCACGGGTTCCTATCATAAACTCGACCAGAACACACGGCATTCGAGATTAAAACGTAAGTACCGTAAACCGTCGAAATATCGTCGACCGTTTGAAAATGTCTCTTGAAATCGATACGGTGGATACGGAAATCACGACGGTCTTCAAAAATGTTAACTAACATCAACAATATTATTATTATTACGTCCGTCCATTTTCTTCTGGTACTTCTACAATCTACATTCAATACATTTTTTGGAAAACATTAATCTCCGGGCAACTACAGTGTGGGTGAACAGGTATTATTCCCGCCCCTAATTGTTTTCTTTATGATTACATACTATCTATCGCACGACGCGGCTCACTGCGGCTGTCGGAATTCGGGAACTTACTGGCATAAAATAATATTAATGTCTTCAAACGAAAATAAATTCCGAGAAAAATGCCGTAAACCAATTAACGACATCATGATATTAATCTAGAATTTACAGCGATGAGAGGAATTGATTATAATTCCGCGGGCACGTACAACGTGTAGTCGAAGGGACGGGTCGTTTATTATTTTGTTTTCTGTCCAGGCCCTAGGGCTAATGGCCCCGGGGGGCACGATTGATGATTTAATCTACCATCACCCGGGACGGTCGATTGTCGATATTCGATTCCGAAAGTCAAATGACGAATTCTTGAAATGATTTTGGAAAAGACACAGATTTTTATAATTTTTTTTTGAACAGTTAATTTTGATTCACGAAAAAAGGGAAAGCTTGGGACAAGTTTACGTCCGGTAACATTGGCTACACTGCAATGTTGACATGAATGAAGTATCAAAAAGTGTGTATGCGTAAAAAATTTAACAAGTTATGAGAAATGAGATTTAATTAGCTCTTATCTGGTTTTCTAGACAATATTCATTAATTTGTCATATTTTGCTGTGTACATCTACATTATTCGTTTACATAGTTTTTCCTTTTTTCTTTCAATAGTGAAGACAATTGTGTGACATTTATTGACTAACCGTTTTGCGTGAATGTTTATAATTAACTGTACTACCTATTTAATTTGACTCAAGCATAATTACTGTACCTAGTTGGCATTATAAAATTAGTAAAAATCCTAGAATGGACGTGGAATCAACAGAAAATCCAGTAAGTCAATTATAAATTTTTAATAAATATATTTTTTTATACAGAACTGTTTACCAGTTAAAATATAATAACCACTATTCATCGATATAAACAAAAACATTAATGATAAAGATATGATTGGTGAATGTCTATTAGTAGTTAAGTAGATATATGTCTAATCAATACTTAAAATATTGTTAAATCTTTATATTTGCTGGTATTTATTATTTATTAGGTTCTCAATTCATGACAATAAATTATGTGTAATTGTTTTTCAAAAATTTAAAGAAAGTCATTGTTACTAATATTACTTCATACTTGCTAAGGAACCTCTATTTTTAAATAAAATGAGTCATTCTGTTCTTTTTTTAAATTATTTTGTTATTTTGTAAGAAAATACATTTATAATTATACTATCATCCTGATATTCAAATGCGTAAGTATTATAGTTAAATTTGTAAACATCAAACTCTTGACGTAAAAAAAAATAAATATTTATATTCAAAATAAAGACTCACATTACTTTCAAAAATTGCAATTCATTAAAATGAAACTTAAACATTTAAATTATTTTAAATTTAAATTGTTATCAATTTTTTGTTTTTGTTTTCTACAGTTAATGTTTTATAAGCATTAAATAATATTTAAAACAATAAATGTTAGCTACCTTGGCTTTGTTTAATAAACCAGATACTTGAAATTTCACAACATTTTTAATTTGTTTTTAAAACTGTTCAAAGTTATCATTTACCTAAGTATTATACAACAATTAACAAGTTTTGTGACTGCTTTAATGCATAATTATCACTATAAATTTTAAATAAAGTTTTAAGTATAGAGTATACCTATGATTTTTCAAAATGTATTATGTTTATAATCAATTATAAAAAATTTTATTTATTTATTCTCATCATTATAATATATTTATATTTATATATACCTATAACGTTATATTACTCAGTGGCGCTGAACACTTATCTCAAGTGGGAAGTATATTCCAGTAGTTGTTCTGGAACACTATTTACTAAACATTTAAATATATAGGTATGTATATTATGCATAAATCTATGAATTTCTTTATTTTTACCTCTACAAAAACTAAGTTATAGTCTAGAATTTGGTAAATCCAGCTTTTAACAAAATTGATTTTGTTTTTTTGTTATTACTAGAATTACGTGTATTTTGTGCAGATTTATATGCAATTGCATATTTTTTCATTTTCACAATTTCGTTATTTTTGTCAGTAATCTTTACAAATTATAATGGTTTGAAGCTAATGGAAAATTATTTTTTTGCACATTTCTGTATATTTAATGGCTATTGTATATTTTTGCATATATTGAAGCAAAAATTTTAAGAAAATACATAAAGTATTATTTCATCGAGCAAATAATGTAATAATACATTTTGTAGTCATTAATATACTATTCATTATAATAATACTAAATTAGGTACCTATACTCTGTTCAGCGAGATATCGCGCCGTGTACCGACGAAAACTGGTTCCCCCGTGCAACACCCTGCCTGCCATTGGGGACCCGGTTTCGATAGCATGGTAACGTGTAGGAATGCTCAGAATCGGCGCGTCCTCTCGCTGAACAGAGTATGTATATTATTATAAAATTAAAAATTAATTTTTTGTTTATTAAGTAGATACCTATAATTATAACTATATGTTTGATTTGTTTTAAATTATTTTAAGTCATACATTTATAAACTAGAAAAAATAATAATCAAATAAAAATTGTGAATTTTTATATCATGTGTCCATGTTACACAATTTAATGTTTTTTACTTGTATATTTGTTGCATATTTTGACACTTTTTAATGCATACAAATGTGCCCTTTAATTATTACTCAAAATTAAATAAAGGTAGTAGAAGCTTGAAATTTTCAGTGACTATTTATATTAGAATTTACTAGATAAAAATAATTTCCAATATATTTTGGTTCTTTTTGGCTGTTAGTATGTATTTAAAATTGTTGACTTTGTTTTTGGTTCTCTTCGATTTATGTATGATGCAATAAAATTTTTTGGGTATTAAAGGTTGCAAATTTAATACAATATTCTTCATAAGTTGTTCGTATACCAATATTAAGACATACTGAAAATACGTAGTCACAATATTTTTTTAATCATCTATTACTGTGAACTATCTAATAACAAGATACGCTACACCTATGACCTACTTTACAGCAGAGCGGTACCTACTTATTAAGGTATCAAATCTAATAACATCTTTCCCAGGATAGAATATAGGAATTTAAATACAACGATCTTTTATAAAATTGCAGATTCATGCATTGTTATAAGGTAGGTTCACTAAGGTTCTAGGCGTTCAAAACTTAAAAGCCCATTAGTAAACAATCAGTAAAGAATTATTACAATTATGTTATTTTGTTGTATAATAAATTGATCTATTATTTTTTATCATTATATAACTAAGTACCCTCATTAAACACAATTAATTATGGTTTGTTTAATATTGACAACTAGTAGTACCTAAGTCATAAGTCCAAAGCAAAACGAAATAACTATAGTCAATTTTTTTAATATTAGGTAGGTGTTAGTTAGGTATATATAACTCTATAATATCATAAAGACTATTTATATTTTAAATTTATATGCATAAAAATTTTTGGATGCATAAAAATTCTCAAAAATAAATTATTTGGTTTCAAAATATGAAATTAAAAATGTATGTTATTATTCACAAAACTAAACTACATAAATACCTATCCTTATTTAAAAAAAATTGTTTTGTAATGAATTCATGTTAACTATAGTTGTGTGAAAAAAATATTTTCAAAAATATCAAGATTTTATAAGACTGATTGTTCACAGTTAAAAAAAAAACATTATGTCTATATATAAATATATTATAAAAACTATATTTTTGAATACAATAATTACTGCATTTTAAAGTGGAATAATGTGTTAACCTCGAGGCAATAAATAAATAAATCCTATAAATATTGCAACTAATTTTTGTGGTAGCGGTAGAATAAAATTTAACTTATTAACATTTTATTGGCTAGATGAACAAATTATAGCTATGCGTAAAACACCTTGTATAAAATATCATCAAATTGCTTAAAGCTGTTCAGTCTTAAAATATATTAAAAATAAAAAGTATATATTTTGAATTTTGATAAATAAATGCCAAATTTAAAATATATTATATAATTAACTACTGTATTTTCATTGTTATTGACCTAATATTAATTGTGTATGAATTGTATTCTTATTATTAAGATGTTGGAATTTTTTTCTTACGATATGCTATTTTTCTCATCCCATGTTTAAAAGTTTAGTTTTAAGTACTATCCTTTTATATCTACAAAACATATTTTTAAATAAATGTATTAATTGACAGTTAATTATTTTCCAAAATATTTCCAACTCTTTTAAATTTAGTATTTTTCTTCGACAGAAAATCCTTATTTTTGGCTCCTTTTCAGGCTTTTTGAGGATTAAAAATAGTCTTTAGAAAATGCTACACCCTCATGCGTTTTCTACATCTTACAAACGCATAACATGGCAAATTGTACATTCTTAATAATCCATTTAACTTTTTTATGTTTAATATTGATGCAGATTGATCTATTATCAAATTGAATCTCATGCTTTTTTTATATTATAATTTTAAAGCGAGTTTCTAAAAACATTCATAATGTGCTTTAAAATGAAAGTATAAAAAAATACCTATGCAATTCCCTAGATAA